TTTTTCCTTAATTTATTTGCATCAAATCATCTGAAATGAGACCTTGATGTGAAAAAAAAAATTGTGCAAAGAATAAACAAGATCTATTATGAAAAATTAATGTCCATTTATCCGCAGTGCAAAGAATCTCAATTCATTTTGACATTTGAATTTTTTTGATTCTATCAACAAATTTTGGTAACGATAAAATATCTTCTAATATACAATTTCAACTAGTCTTTCCATAGGGAGAAAAAACTTAGTTGCAACGGGAATAACACTATTTTGCCATCGCTGACCAATTATACTATGTCATGTGGAAGTGTTGTCACGCGTGTAAAAACATTATTGATTGAGGATACCAAAATAGTGATATTCCTGTTTCATGGAAGTCTTTCTCATCTACACGAGCTTTTGTCACATTTTGAGCCTTAAATTTCTATCTATTTGAATAAATTTCTATCTATTTGATATGCAAAATAACGAATTTTCTATAAAGAGATCCAGCCATGGTTGATATTAGATGCCTCAAAAAACGAGTTGTTTTCAGATTTAGGAGAAAACGAGCTCAAGCAGCTTCGTGAGCTTTGAACCAGCCTCCAAATTTCCCGATGATTCTCCTTTCACAGATTGAACAACCAGCTTCAGATGATTGAACCTGGCTCTGAGGCCATGTTATTGTTTTAGGTGTTTTTAATTCAGAGATTGCAGAAGAAAACAAAGAGGGAAGGAGCAAGAAGAATTGACAAAATCTATCTGCTATACGTGTAGCAGAGAATGTTCATTTTCTATTCTCACTCTTACAACCTCATGTACTTCATGTGAGGAATATATCTGTCAGGCACAAGAGTTGGATCCCTTACATCACAAGGTAATCTCAACCGTTCACTTAGGCAACTAATAGGAAGCTTACACTTGTCTTAAAAAAGAAATAAAACGATGAACTAATTAAGCTAACTCTTAAGTCAGCTTAAGGCTTATAATTCAACAATTCCATGAGCTCATGAGATGGAGAGGATTTTGAGTGATTCTTTTCTTCAAGTCTAGCAGCACCAGCCAATCGGTTTCATTAAAAAAAAAAAAAAAAAAAAAAAAAAAAACGATGTTCAGTGTGTGAATAATCATGTGCTATGATACCAACTGTTAGATTTCTTTATATGCGTGTTCATGACTTTTCAAACAATCTGAAATACGTAAAGACATACCTAGGGCCATCTTTCTTGAGTACACAACCTCTTAACTCATTCAACTGCAGCATCAACAATCCCAGCAAGAACAAGAACGGCTCAAGACTTCTGCTCTCTCTCAGAATCTGTTTCAGCTCTCTCTTTATGATGAGATTAGGGTTAGAGAACGTGTCTGACGAGAGCAGGGCCTTAAGCTTATATAGGGTTAGGTCAAGTTGTCTCTACTCATCACCAATGGGTGACTTGACTAATCTTCCAAGCCCACCAAGCAACAGTTCACACTAAAAAAAGAAATAAATAGGACCCCTTAATAGACTTCAAAATCTTTTCTTATTCTACTAGGTTTAGGCCTCAATAACCTAATTTAAACTCTTATCAAAATTTGATATAACTTAGTATCTAATGCATCGATCTAACTAGGAAACATAACAAGTAGTTCCAGTATTCGTAGGTTCTGATAATCTACTTATGAGTGATGCATATATGTAAAGTTCCTAGTATGTCTACTTCTGTCAAGCTTCGATCATGAATAATATTTGCATATTTTCAGGTACACCACCGTGGTCCGTGTGTGTTTGTGTATGTACATTGTACACACTTCATAAATGACTCTCTTCCTAAGCATTTTTTCATTGATGGATCATCCTTTTAAATTAGATAAATCGGAAACCGTTTAGACGTCTAATTGTTTTCTACAAAATCAATTAACACAATGCTTCAAAAAAGTACCAGAATTTCAATTATTTAATTAAGTGGTCAAATGATATCGAATTCAAGTGAGATATATATATATATATATATATATATATTGGTAGATAATCTTTGAATAAATATCTACAAAATAGATAGTTTAGATTAGTGAAATACAATGCGAAATGAAGCCTACAAAATATTTAACGATCCCTCAAATAAGCTTATCATTGGCAGTATATTCAACCCTTTTATGATTCAACAACAACAATAGCAAGCAAGTGAGAATAAGGGTCCGATAAGAACGAAGACATCATTGCTTTCGATGTCTCCTGTAATTATGCCATTGTTCAATGACCCGAAACAAACTTCTCAATCAACCATTCTCAGAAATTGAATTGGTATACATTTGATTTGGTTTTGCTGTAACTATGTACCTACCAACTCCAAGTAAAATCACCTAAGGCACAGCTCAAAATGAAAACATTGAACACAGTAAATAAATAAAAGTCTACAATAATTCACTTGTTAGAAAGAAAAAAAGTATTAAATTATCAAAAAAAGATAATTTTTATTTTATTTTTTTCATTTAATTTTATATGCTCTCAAGATGCATATACAAGTTTTAGGCTCTACAGCTCTGTCACATTGGATCACATTGAAAGCCAAAAAAATTACTTTGCCATTAGAGACCTAAGAATATAAGCAAACATATAAATTCTTACCTGAAATCAATTATCACCAATCCATAGATTAAATAACCCTCCCATATCGTAATTCAATAAACAAATATATATTTATATATATATATATATGTGGGGGAAAATATAGCACTGAGTTAGGAAGATATGCAGCAAATGCCACACCTTCTTACATTACAGGGTTTTTTATTGTCTTCCACTCGTAATCACTCCCTCCTCCATGTTTTCGGTTTGCGGTCCTAATTGGGTTTTATTTTATTTTTTTTGTTTGTGCTTGGCCTTTTCATGATGCATGGCGGCGATGGCGCCTATTTCATGATACACAGCGGCTACCGCAGCTTAGCTACTCTCTGCAAAACCCAATAATATATTACGATAAACTAAACTCAAAGGCTATAAAAATACTTGGAAATGCACACAATTGATTCTCTTGATTCATGTCATTAAATAAATAAAAAGATTTTATTGTAAACGCATTTCTTTCACCTTAGCCATGGGTAAGCAAGAAGCTTACGATGAGTCCCCTCATGGATCAAAAACTGCTTATCATGTTCATCCAAAGTGGTTTCTTCTTGTTTTGGCTGATTCACACTAGTCACACTCTCCTCTTCTATGGGTTCGTAATCCCCGCACTCACTGAGTCATAATAACGAGAAACCTTATTACATACCAAATGTAAAATAATTCCAACATTCAAATGTAATTTTATTGATGAAAACACAAGAAACGTGAAGAAAACTTACGGTGTGAAGCAGAACTCAAGTGAGAACCATTCACGGCCCTTGATATCCACAGGGTGAACAGTTGAATGTACGGTCTTGATCATGTGCCTTCCTCCTTCTCCAACAATAATTTGAAACGTGGTGATACAAAGATATTGAACCATGGGACATGCTTCGCCATCAGGACTACCAGTCCTGACATGAAAAAAGTCTTTGTTACCCAAATGGACCAAATACCCTGTCTTAAGCTCACGAAATGGCACTGGTGGACGAGCAATCTTCAGGCCACGCAATATAAATTGTGGGTTTAGGGAATATGCAATGCCACCGTCTTCACCTTTGTCCATCCTAAATGAGAATGCTATAATCACCTCCTCCATAAGCGCATGTAAAGCATAGATAGTGTCGCCTACAACCACGGCTCTCCCTTGGAAAGAAGCATAAGAAGTAGAAGTCACTCGATTCCATTGATTTCTACTCTCATGAAAAGCAACGACATAGGGATTCAAGTAGGAGTCTGACAATGAAAACAAAATAACGCCATAACAAACGGCATAACCAATTATTTTCGTATGGCTCCCATAGTCATGATAAAATGGAAAAGAAGTCATTCGCTCCCAAAGGTCTTGATCAGGATCATATCTCTCGAACGAGGGCTCCGTAATTGGTGGTGAGCACGCTGGAGATGCAACATAATAAAGCTTGTCATAAGCAGACACAAGAGTTCCTACTGGTTTAGAGGCTATGCTAGGAGGAAGAGATGAACAATATGACCCAGTCTTTGTGTCAATACTATATCCTAATGGCCTGCAAGATTTGGCCCCAGGAGTTTTATTATAACCATCCTGTGGAATGATATATAATTTGGAGCGGTTGAAAATCCTTGCACCCTTGATGTGAAAACTGTCATAGTACTCCGCCACAAGTCCAACTACTGGGGGTTCATGACTGACTCCTCCGTGTTTGAATGTCACTTTATAGATTGAATCAGTGTATTCGCCATCATAAAAAGACACAAATAAATATACCGATCTATCTTCCCCCTGATTTATCGTCATCGATGCATGCTCTGGCTCCACGGAAAAGCTGGACAGAGAAGAGAGATATATATAACAAGTCAAATTAATATTTTCAAAGACCTACCTGCCTAAAGAGATTTAATGAATGAAGCAACGTAAAATCTGCACCATTTACTTTAGTAAGCATATATATACACAGAAACAAATACAAACAAAACAGTAAATATTAAAGAGTAATAGATCGATCACAGTTAAATGCAAAGTTCAATTCATAGAATATATATATATATATATATATATATATACATGACCAGAATTGTAAAATATAACATCGGATTCCTCAGAAAATATAACACAGTTTTTGCAAGAAAACACCTCAAAGGAACAGATAAAGGCGCTCGAAATAGGAGCTGGTAATCCAATTCAATTTCAATATGTAACACAAGTGAACTGAATGGTAGTAAAGAGATATAAAACCTCTTGTAGCATCAAGATAGCAGAAAAAATAGTCCAACTAAGAATCGTTAAATATAACTAAGATGCATGCAAAATTCTCCGAAAAACTAAACAAAAGAAAATTGATCGAATTTTTTTAAGGAAAAAAAAACGACTGCAGCAATGCGAAAGAAGAACATCAACAATTTTACGGAGAAACAAAATCATGAAGATAAGATGAAATCCACTAAGTCATAATGCACTGACCTTGGGTGAGGATTAAAGGGCTCACGGTTGGGACTGTCGTCAACCACCGTGAAATTTGGAGTCGTCGTGGATTGACTCGGGGTAGCATTACTGGAGCGTATTAAACGAAGCTCCTCCAGTATTGATTTCTGCGAATCGGCCAGTTGGAGTTGCTGGGCAGAAAGCTGGGCCGATAGTTGTGCAGAAAGCTGGGCAGATAGTTGTGCAGAAAGCTGGGCGGAAAGCACCTCCGATAACTTCGTCAAGGCACGGTATTGAGCAGGGGTGAAATCAGCGGCCGCGGAAGCCATCGTCGGCCTGGGACTGTCGGGTTGAACGGGAATACCACCACTGGCGGTTAGTAGGCCAAGCAGCTCCAGTATTGACGTTTGCAATTCGAACTTTTGGGTTTTCCCTATCTCCGATATATTGACCGGAGATTTCTCCATCACCGGTAACTTCCCCTGTGGATCATATTGGCGGGAACTCATGGTCAAGACATGGCCTTCACCCGAGATGAGATCAGCGGCGGAAGGTTGAGATTTTTGCCAATGCACCATGATACCAGATGATAGGGCTTCGCTATTGAAATGCAAATTGATGCAAAGGGAATTTAGGGTTTGGATGCCGCTGTAGAGGGGAGTTTTATTATGCTTGGCTGGGGGGGGTGATATGAGGAAAGTTTCGTTATGCTTGGTTGGGGGTGTGATATGAGGAAAGTTTCGTTATACTTGGGGCGGTGTGATTTTATTTATTTTATTTTTTAATAAGCGGGCGGTGTGATATGAGGAAAGTTTCCAACTCGTGTAAAATTCCAAAGGCTGCTGCTATTCTTTTTATTATATTTTTAATAATATAAAATATAAAAAACTAGTCATTTTTTATCCTATTTAGTTTCCCTTTTTTAAATTTGTGTTTTTGTTACCTACTTTATCATGTAATGTTTTATGTTACTCGTTTTTTGAGTTTTTTACTTGTTTTATGAGATTGGGGCTTTCGTTCAAACTCTATATATAATCTATCTGCGGTTCTTCCCCTTGGATCTTTCTTTGACTGAATATCTCTTTTTGCTTCGTTCTCCTTAATCAAAGGTGGCTGCCCTCGGATCTCTCTCTGACTCCATATCGTTTTTGCTTCATTGTCCAAGATAATCAAAAGGTTACATTATGCTTTCTCATTTATAATCTAGTTTATGTTATATTTTCTTTTGAACATTTGAGTAGCTTTTGTGTTGTCTTTTGAAACATTGGTTGACCAATGATACATCTTTATCTGTTTTCTTTTGAAGTATGAGTAGTTTTTGTCTATTGAACATTGATTGACCGACAATACTTGTTTATCACACCAATAATATATACTAGGGACACTAAATTTGAGTCTCAAATAACTTGGCTCATGTCAAGCATTAAATTTAAACTACTTAAACTGAGCACTTACTGCAATTTGCCATGCAAATCGGAGACGTTGTCCAATAAAATAAACATGTGCCTTCATAATCCTTACTCCGACAAGAAAATTTGAAACCAACAGTTCTCAAGCTTGGAGATCTCATGAGGGACAAAGTATTTTATTTTGGGAATAATAGCTGTCTGTGTTATTAAAAAAATTAAATTAAATTGCGTCCTGCCAAGAGTTCTCAAGCTTGGAGATCTCTCATGGCCTTAAGGCTTCTAATGAGTCGTTTTATCTGTTTTTGTCTGTTGTTTCGGGTCTGGTACAGTATGCTGTTGTGGGGCTCTTCGTCCAGATTGACTGGCTGTAGTCTTTTGTTTTCTCAGTTTCATCGCTTGTTGCTGATGCTGTTCTCTTCTTCCCTAGTTTCCAATCTAACCCATTCGAGTTTTTGTGGATTATTTTTTTATGTTAGATTTCTTTGAATTGGAGCGTCTGCCAAATTGAGTCAAAAGAAAGATCCAAGGGCTTTTATTTTTGGTGATTTGGACTATGCAAATTATTATATTTGTTTTTCTTTTGTTGGAAAATTATTAAATTGTTAAAACGAGTCTTTTTTTTTTAATTGAAATTTTATGTTTCTATTATAATTAAAGATTTTATATTTATAAACTTTTTTTTTTTACGGTGATAAAATTAAGATTTTTACTCTTTGCGGCATGCAGATTTCTTAGAATAATTTGAAAATTTACATTCATTTGCTTAGGGTTCTTTTTCTTTAGTATTTGGGGTCCTGATTCTAATTCTAATGTTTCCAGGAAATGGAAATTCCAATTGACTTTTTCCATTACATCAATGACCAATATTTCGACAGTGATGATTCAAGTGACATGGTTAAGGGTGCACATGTGTGCTTTTATAAACTTTCCAGTAACTATTCAAGGAATAAAAGTTTGTATGATCATGGTGAGCTCATATTTAAAAGGAACGGTAAAGCGATAGATGTTTCCTTCTTGAATATCGGTGATGGAGATGAACAAGAACAAATAGCTGAGCAAATTTTTCATTTACACGCAAGGGTATCCGACAGAATACTTATCCGTCCATGGATGATTGCATATTGCAAACAGAATAAGGAGGTACGAGCGGATGGTGGAGTCTCTGTTATGATAGATTCGACATTTCACTTTCTGATTGGCAAGTTAAGGTAATATCAGAAGAACTTTCTGATCCAAACAAGGTAGATTTGAAGATTGGTTTTCGCTGCCTTTGTGATTACTGGTGTCGTACAATACGGTGAGTTTAATAATAATTTATGTTTTTGATATATTAATTTGTATTATGGTTAACTTATGTATTTCATGGTTTGACAGACAATTAATTGATTTGATCTCTCACATCCATGCTGAGGGGATTTTCCATGGTTCCTTGCGGACAATGACAAGTTATGTTTTTGTGGGTGACACACTCAAGGTGATGAACATAGGAGGAGGACTTAAGGAACAAGACAAAGTTGCTTTCCAAGACTTCAAGGATTTTAGTCGGATGCTGCGATCTCTATTTGAACCGTTTTTGAGTTGCGATACTCAATGGCCAGAACTTACTAGCTTTCTTGGTTGTTTCAACACTAAATTACAAGAGTGAGCGATTGAATTTTTTATTTTTTATTTTTGTGGAATATGATATGTCATTACATGCGTTTATGAATTTTGTTTTTTCTCTTTTCAGTTACCCAAGGTATGTTAAGAAATTGTTGGAACACCCATTTTTGATGGCTCCTAGTCAGAGGATGCAGTACATTGGTGAACTTCATCATAAACTTAAAAGCACGCATAGCGAATTGCGCGAAAAATTGAACTCAGATGATTTTCTAGAGTTCTTCGATTGGAACGAACCAGTAGCCATCAATTCTTTGGAATCATTTTTTATTAAAGTTTTTAATTATGAGGAAGTTAAACCGTATAAACGTCAGCCATCAGACCTTCTAAAGTTCCTACGAAATGTCTATGAGCATTGTATGGATCGTTCAAAAAAGGACATTGAGGAAGTGGATATTGTGCAAGTGGAAGCTGCTGTTAGAAAGCATTGGGGGGGTTTTTTGGATCGCGTTCACGTCCTGTTCTCAACATCAAAAATATGCTAATGTTGCTCATCTTTCGTTTGCGGTTGTTTATCTTGGTTTAGGTTTTATGTTAGAGAGATAATGATTTTGTGTGGGAAATATGTGGTTGGTTTTTATTTTTTGTTTAAAAGATAATGACTTTATGTTGGATCATATTAGATTTTCTTAATCTATTACCTTTAAAAAAGCTATTTTCAGCTTGATGAACACTTGTCCTAGGCTTCATATAGTTTCTGAGCATTTTGCCGTTGGGGTTTCCATCTCACTTATGATTTATAGTACTATGACGTTGGCCTTGTACGGTTACCTAACAAAAATATTGCCGTCGGGTTTCATTTGACATAGTTTCGGAGCATTCCATTACCTACTTCCGTCAATCAAGCTAAAGGATGATGAGTGATGACAGAAGCTAATTTAATTTGGGTGCAAAGTTGGTGCAAAAGGTGAAAAATTTCTTGTGGAGAATTGTCAAGGGCTGTTTACCCACGACACGAGGCATGCAAGCCAGCTTAATTATGCTCTGAAGAAGATTGAGCAGTTAGAATATTAAATGAATACAACGTTAAAAGACGTAAGAATTCATATAAGTGACGTGATTGTAAAATATGCTATAAACCACGTCGGTAGTTATATATACAAGCGACGTTATAGGGTATCAAAGCACGTTGATTCTCAAGAAAAAACGATGTCAATCAAAAACATGCTGAACTTAAGTTGTCAAAAGCACATCTGTTTTAAAAAAAACGACGTGGTTCAAAAACATGCTAAACTTAAGTTCTCTCTCAACCTAATTTTTCAACCCCGCTAGATGAAGGGCTTGTTTGGAAATGCTTTTGGAAGGGCAAAAAACGCTTTCTGATAATTAAAAGCGTTTCTGATAGCGTTTGGCAGAAAAGTTTAGAAGCGCTTCTGGGTCATAGAAGCACTTCTTGAAGAAGCCCCTGCCATGTGCTTCTTCAGGAAGCGCTCTTAAGTGCTTTTCCACAAAGCACTGTAATTTTTTTATGAAAATTCAAGATTTTTATAATAAAAGCACTTTTGTTATAAGCACTAATGAGCAGAAATACTTATTAGAGAAGCACTCCCAAACGAGCCCGAGAAGTCCCTTTCCTCTCACTGAAACCCTCACTCCCAATCTGCGTTCAAACCCTCTCTCTCCCCTCTCTGAAGTCTTCATCTACCTATCTTCATATCACTGCGAGGTAGCGACACCATCAATGCAGCGACGCCTTCGACTACAGCAGGGATAACGTTGGAACCCTAGACAATCGATTCTGGGCCTCATTCTCTCCCTGCCCAGCAAATCGATGAATCATGCTCTCCCTTCTCAGCAAATCGAACGAATGGGTAAGGATCTCTCCCTCTCTCTGGTTTTCACCATATCCCTCTCAACCACCTCTTCCTTCACCTTATTTTCTCACGATTTCATGTGTTCATGGAAAAGATTTCACTCTCTCTCTCTCTCTCTCTCTCTCTCTCTCTCTCTCTCTCTCTCTCTCTCTCTCTCTCTCTCTCTCTCTCTCTTTTTGGTCATAGATTTCTCTTTTCCTCTCTTACCAGCCCTTAAATCCCAGCGACGCGGATGTCTCAAAGGAGATCCAGCACATGGTGAGGTTCATTCGCCAAGAAGCCGACGAAAAGGCCAACGAGATCGCCGTATCAGCTGAAGAAGTACGTATCCTAATTCTATCTCAACTCTCTTCTTTTTCCCCAATTGTTATTTTTTTCTAACCCTAAATTTCAATTTAATATCGATCCATTGGTGTAATTCATGCGTAATCAAATTTTTGTACGTGTTTTCCAATCTGGGGTTCCAACGCTTGGTCTCCATGTTGCTGGCCAGTTTGTTCTCTGCTCTCTTCTCTTTTGCACCTCATTTGATTTTGCAGAAAATTTGACCCATATATGATCAATTTTGGTTCCCTCCCTTCTTCTTTGTTCTGGGGATTTTCTGATATTAATTTTGGGATGTAGGCGCTGTAGGATTCAGAGAACAGGGTTTATTTGATCGAAGAACTTGATAGGATTACTGGGCAGATTAGTATGGTCTTAGTTTTTGTAGTCAAATAAAATAGTACGGTATCACCATGTCAAGTGATACTTCCATTAAAATATTGCCACATGTCTTTTTTTAAAAGAAAATTTAAACGGTTTTTCTAGCTAGATATTGGGTTCCAATTTACCCTTCATAAAAAAGGAAGACGATTGCAACCAAGGTCTGCAATGCCTCTACCCCTCCACTCTTTTCCTTCATCAATGTTTATCTTCCTCCATCTCTCTCTCTAAGAATCACTTTATTTAATAGTTGGCTTTTATCATCACATTTCATGGGGCCCAAATTTTTATCTATCAAGAATTTCTGAGGGCTTTTTAGTTAAGTTTGCTTTACACATTTTTCTGAATGCATTTCTCGGATCTTCTCTTGTCAGGCCCATACGGGATTGAGAGCAAAATTGGATAAAGAGCACTTGGATTTGGAGGTTTTGAGGTATATGAAAGCAACCTTGATGAGGAGGTTGAAGTATTGGTGGGAAGTAATCGAACGGAGAGAGGGTGCAGCAGAGGGGAACAACGAACTGGATAAAGGTGGGAGGGAAGGCACGGTGGAGAGGGACTGCGAACTGAATAAAGGTTGAAGGTAGTCTGGCTTTTATTTATTTATTAATTTTGAAGGCTAAAATTGAAACCTAATGTCTAGATTGAAAAACAATTTAAATTTTCTTTTTAAAAGTACACGTGGCAAATTCTATGTGAAAGTATCACCAACTGACGTAGTGATATCGTACTACTCTATAATTTTTCTATTGGGAGTTGTCATCTTACTATTTTGATCAGCCAACATTTTCTGGTGTTTGTATCTATCATTTTTTGGTAAAGATACTGGCCTAATTCTCTAGGAAATAATCTTATTTTTGTATTTATTTCGGCCATCATCGTCAATAAAATACCAATAATGCTATTTAGACACACAAGATTGACCACATTAACTGGCCACCTTATGTAGCAACTGATGGGGTCATGTCATGCCAATTAATGTATAATACAATGCGGATTTTATTTTTATTTATTTCTCTTTTCAATCTCATGCTCAAGCCACGCCCTTTTGCATACCCAGTTTTTAATTGGCCACGATTTAGCTGTGGACATTCAAAGGGCTGGATAAGAAACAAAGTGACGGAGAGAGTGTGGGGAAGAGGAGAGAGAAGAGAGAAGGGTCAAGTAGGGGTAAGATTAAAAAGATTCACAATTGCATTTAGTTTTGTAAGAGCATCCACAATGGACTCCCTAAACTACATCCTTAGACAAATTTTAGAGAGGATTTGGAAAAATACAACTCCAACCATGCTCTTTATCTACCTCCTAAAATAGGGAGACCTCTAGGAGCTCCTAAATCTGAGGAGAGATAAATTACTCTTAATGACTCCTTATAATTTAATGAATATTTCAAATATTTAATTATTTTTTATTATTTTTATATTATTTTTTAATAGAGATTGACCAATTAAAAAAGAGTTATAGCATTTATGACTCCCTAAACTAGAGAGCATGATTGGAGTTTAAATTTTCTAGAGAGCTCCTAAAATAACTTTTATATATTTGTAGCTAAAATTTAACTAAAAAATAGAGAGCATGATTGTGGATGCTTTAAATGCTTCTTATTCTTTAGTTAAAATTTAGTTAAAAACACTACAAAGCTATTTTGTGAGCTTCTTAAAAAAATTCAACTCCAACCATGCTCCCTAATTTAGGGAATCATAATTTTTTTTTATTTTTAATTTAGCATAAATGCTATCTCTTCATATTTAAAAAAAATATAACATTAAATAAATACTTAAAATAGCATTAACGTAAAGAAGCATTTACTTATAGGAAACCGCTATGAGTCATTTCTCTCTCCTTAAATTTAGGAGCTCCTAGAGGTCTCCCTATTTTAAAAGTTGGATAAGAAGCATGGTTGGAGGTGGGTTTTCTCACTTCCTCCCTAAATTTTATATAAGGAGGTAGTTTATGGAGTTCATTGTGCATTTCTAAAATGTGGCCTTCTCGTAATTAGTTTTCAATATTTAACTTTAATTATCTTTTAATCATTTGAAGACAAATCTTATAGAAGAATTCATGATCTATGTGAAGATTGATAGAATTTGTTAACCGAAAAGACAATAAACGAATGTTGTTTTCCGGGGTTTGACTTTGACCACCTATTTCATCAATAAAACAAAAAACGATTGAAATTCCATTGATGGAATCTTGTTTACAATAGTCTTCTCGCTTTGCAATGAACTTGCCAAAATCTCCTCTCTTTGATAAAATGTCATCTTCAGGCTCTAAAGAAAAATATAGAACGCATAAAAAACTATACGCACATTAATAAAATAAATAAATGTCATATTCAGGCTCTAAGAAAAATAATAGGATTCATAAAAAGCTTCAGCACAGTCATAAAAAAATGTCATTTTCACAATCAAAAGTTTGTTCTACTTTCCCGTTTCCAGTTTTGAGTGTTTTTTGGGTAGATAGTTTCAAGTTTGACTCGCAGATAAAGTGGAAGAGAAGGGAGGAAAATGGAGAAAGAAACAATGCTTTAGGAAGGATAACATTTCCCCATAAAGACACAATGAGAAGTAATGATTTTTTTCATCTAGCAATTACAGTTTGCTTACAAAGAGATGTGAAAATATAAAGGGGAATGCTAGGAACTTTCTCTCTAACCTTCCTTTTTGGACATTCTCCCTCCTCCTCATGATATGTGTCATTTTCTTTACACTTAAAATAATTACATTAATGCATTAGACAATATATCTTTTGTTCCCAAATTTACGCTTATTAAATGTATTAACTTTATATTTCCTTCAATTTACAACTTAACTTAAACAATTAAATTTAAAAAATAAACATTAAAAGTTCAATTAAATAAATATTTGAAAATAAAAACGAAGTATACTTCCCTAAAAAAAACTTTTTTGGTTTCAAAAATAAGTATTGCAATAAAACCGTTCAAAATTATGGAATTTTAAAAAAATACAGATAAATATTTTTTTAAATTAATGAACATTCTAATTTATTAAAAAAGTTCAAAGATAAAAAGAAACAGAAAAAAAAAATTAAAACCCAACCCACCGTGCACTTTACTTCTCACTCTCCTCCTTCAATCCATACCTCAAAATCCATTCTCCCTACCCTCACCAAAAAAAAGTAGTAAACAGAATTTTTTTATTAATAAAAAAAAAACTGACGTTAATTTTGTGGAAGATTTTAAAATTCTCTTTTAATTTTTTAACAAGGTGAAAATAAAAGTTAGTTTGTCCAATGCATTTAACAAGGGTAAATTTGAAAAACAAAACATACTTTGTCTAATGTATTAATGACATTATTTTAAGTGTAGAGAAAGTAACACATGTCATGAAGAGAAGAGAGAAAGTTCAAAAGAAAAGGTTAAAGAGAAGGTTACTAGCATAGAGAAAATAGAGTGGAAACTTTAATCACATCTATTCGTAGTGTCAAAATTTGTGTATAAAAACCTAGTGCCACGAATCCGACATAGTCGGAAAAAAACTAAGAGTTAGGAAGATATATATGCAGCAAATTCCAAGCCAATAATCTTGATACAAATGCTTAACTATATGAAAATTGCAATAACCCGTAATCCAAAATTGGCAATTATTACATAAGTAATTTCATCCCAACTCATCATTCGTCATATGCCCTCAAAAAAAATAGCACTGGGTTAGGAAGATATGCAGCAAATGCCAAGCCAGTAATCTTTCTTGGTACAAACGCTTAACTCCATGAAAATTGCAATAACCCATAATCCAAAGTTGACAATTACATAAGTAATTTCTGCGGAACTCATCATTCGTCATATAGCTCTGCATGTAACAGCTTCTTACATTACACCTTCTTCATGTGCCTTTCTTGTTGGTTTTTTCATACTGCCTGGCACCTACTCATACTACATGGCGGTTACTCCAGCTTGGCTTCTTTCTTGGCCTCTTTCTGCAAAACCAAATAATTATTTTGAGAAACTAGACTCAAGGACTAAAAAAAACTTATAGACATGCAAACAATTGAGTCTCTTGATTTAATGTCATTAAATAAAATAAAAAAATTCATTATAAACACATTTCTTTCACCTTTGACACCGGCGAGCAAGGAATTCACTACGAGCCACCTCCCAGGTCAAAACATTCTCATCCTGAGTTGTTTCATGTTCATTCATAGTGGTTTCTTCTTGTTTTGGCTGATTCATACTAGTCATAATGTCCCCTTCTATGGGTTCATGATCCCCGCACTCACTGAGTAATGAGAAACCTTATTACATACAAAAGGTAACATAATTCCAACCTACAAACACAATTATAATAATGTAAATAGAAGAAACATGAAGGAAACTTACGGCGTGAAGCAGAACTCAAGGAAGAACCAATCACGACCCTTGATATTCACAGGATGAACAGTTGACTGTATGGTCTTGATCATGGGTCTTCCTCCTTCTCTAACAACAATTTGAAATATGGTGATACAAAGATATTGAACCTCGGGACGTGCTTCGCTATTGGGACTGCCAGTCATGACATGAAAAAAGTCATGGTTACCCAAATGAACTAAATACCCTGTCTTAAGTTCACACAATGGCACTGGCGGACACACGATTTCCAAGCCACACAATATAAACAATGGGCTTAGGGAATATGTAATGTGACCATGTTCACCTTTGTCCATCTTAAAAGAGAATGCTATAATCTGCTCCACCATAAGTGCATGTACGGCATAGATAGTGTCACCTACAACCACGGCCCTTCCTCGAAAAGGAGCATGAGATGCAAAAGTCACTTGACTCCATTGGTTTATTCTCTCATGAAAAGCAACGACATTGGGATTCAGGTCGGAGTCCCACAATGAAAACAAAATAACACCATAACAAACGGCATAACCAATTATTTCCATACGGGTCCCATCATCATGATAAAATGGAAAAGAAGGCATTCGCTCCCAACGGTTTTGAGTAGGATCATATCTCTCGAAGGAGGGCTCCTTAATTGGTGGTAAACACACTGGAGATGCAATATAGTAAAGCTTGTCATACGCAGACACAAGAGTTGCTAGTGGTTTAGATGTTATGTTAGGAGGAAGAGATGAATGATATGACCAAGTCTTTGGTTCAATACTATATCCTGATGGTACCCGAGAGTATCCCTCGAAAGGGTTATTATAACCGTTCTGTAGAAGGATGTAAAATTTGGAGCGGCTGGAAATCCTAGCACCCTGAACGTAAAAACCGTCATAAAACTCCTCCTCAAGTTCAACTACTGGGGGTTCATGAGTAACTCCTCCATGTTTGAATGTAACTTGATAGATTGAATCAGTGTATCGGCCATCATAAAAAGACACCAATAAATATACAGATCTATCTTCCCCCTGATTTACCGTCGATGCATCCTCCACCATAGAAAAGCTGGACAAAAAAGAGAGAGATATATAGAACAAGTCAAGTTAATATTTTCAAACACCAACGTTCTACCTAGATAGATTTAATGAATGAAGCAAGGTCAAAGCTGCACTATCTACTTTAGTAAGCATATATGCATAGAAACAAATACAAACAAAACAGTAAAACTGGAAATATACAAAAATAAATTTCTCCATTTTCCTACAAACTGAGTATGGAAGTGTAGGAGTAGATCATCATCATTAAATATTACAGAGTAATAGATCGATCATAGTTAAATGGAAAGTTCAATTCAATTTATAGAATATATGATGCATGATCAGAATTGTAAAATATAACATCCGATTCCTCAGAAAATATAACACAGTTTTTGCAAGAAAACACCTCATAAAAATAGATAAAGGCCGAGCTGGTATAATCCAATTCAAATTCAAGAATACGTAACACATGTGAACTGACTGGTAACAAAGAGATACAAAACCTCCTGTAGCATCAAAATAGCCACACAAAAATAGTACAAGCAAGAATCTTTGAATATAATTAAAGATGAATGCAAAAATTAAGAAGATAAGATGAAATCCGCTAAGCCATGATGCGCTGACCTGTTGGGTAAGGATTAAAGGGCTCACGGTCGGGAACAGTGAAATTTGGAGTCTTCTTCCTTTCGGATTGAAAGTTGATAGCATTACTGGCGCGTATTAGGCGAAACTCCTCCATTATTGATTTCTGCGAATCGAGCTGGGCGGATAGCTGGGCGGATAGCTGTGCAAAAAGCTGGGCGGACAGCTGTGCAGAAAGCTGGGCGGACAGCTGTGCAGAAAGCTGGGCGGACAGCACCTCCGATAACTTCGTCAAGGCACGGTATTGAGCAGTGGTGAGTTCAGCGGCGGCAGAAGACATCATAGGCCGGGGACTGCCAGATTGAACGGGAATACCACTACTGGCGCGAAGTGGCTCCAATATTGATGTTTGCAATTCGAACTTTTGGGTTTTCAATATTACATTGCCCAGAGATTTCTCCATATCCTGTAACTTTCCCTGGAGATCATCTTGGCTGGAGGTGAGATCAGCGGCGGAGGCGAAAGGTTGAGATTTTTGCGGATACCCCATGATACCAGATGATAGGGCCTTCGCTATTGAGAATGCAAATTGAGGCACAAGGAATTTAGGGTTTGGGGATGCCGCTGTAGAGGGCAGTTTTATTATGCATGGTTTGGGGTGTGATATGAGGAAAGTTTCGTTATGCTTGGTTGGGGGTGTGATATGAGGAAAGTTTCCAACTCGTGTTAAAATTCTAGAGGCTGTTATTCTTTTTTCTTTTCTTTTTGTAATAATATAAAATAACTAGTTATTTATTATACAAATTTATAAATAAACCCAATCCTACACATGTATTTATAAAAAAACCCAAGCACTATTTAAACATAGAAACACACCCAAAATCAACCCCAAAGTCAACTTTTTGGGTGTGTTTATAAATGGGTTTTGAGTGTGTGTAATGATGGGTTTTGGGTGTGTTTATAAAGTGTTTTGGGTGTTGGGTTTTTTTATAATTTCAACCTCCATTTTGGGTGTTTTAGTGAAACTCCCTATTTATTAAACCACACAACTCATAAAATATCCCTTTAAAATTTCGTGTTTTGTTACCTGTTTTATCATGCAATGTTTTTTGTTACCTGTTTCTTCATGCAATGTTCCTTATTACCCGTTGTTAGCAACCTTCTCTCTAACTTTCTCTTTTAGACCTTCTATCTTTCCCTTAAGACATGTGACACTTTTTTTATCCTTAAAATAATATCATTAATACATAAAACAATTTAGCTTTTATTTTTCAAATTTACCCATATTAAATATGGGCCATTAAATATTGCCAAATGCTTTTGAATTGCTACCCAAAGAGTACACCTTTCTCAATTTCCAGATGTCTGGCATAGTTGGCAACTATAAGAGTGTACAAGGTGCCTTATCGGACTCTATACGTTGACAACAAAGATGCCTTCGACATCCTTGCATCTCTAGGTTATTTTGACGTGTAAGGGAGCTGGGAAGAGGACTTTTGGGAGACTTTGGAAAAAACCAAAAGAGAGACAAATTTTTTAAAAGAAGCCAAAATAGACAAAATTGCCATTATTTATTTTTGGATTTCCTAAGGAATCATTTACATTTATATGTCTTTGGTTTGAAAGTTGAGAAGTTTTTCTGTCTTTTTTGAAAAAGCTTTGGCTTTTTCCAAAAGTGAAAAAAATTTGTGGATAAAACCTAAATTTACTATTTGTGTTAATGTGTTTATTAATGAAGGGTAAACTTGGAAAATAAAAACTAGCTTGTTTGTTGTATTAATGACATTGTTTTAAGGGTAAAAAAAGTGTCACATGTCATGAGAAAAATGGAGAAGGCCCGAAAAAGAAGGTTGCTAGCATTCCCCTTATTCGGGTTTGTTACTCGTTTTTATGATATTATGCATTCTCCGCAATAGTTAAAGATTAACTCCCCCTAAATTTGAGGATATGTGAGATCCTCTTTAATAAAAGCCCTTGGATTAATCCAAATACACACATAATTATTCAATCCCGCTAAATATGGGGACTTGTAAGGTCCTCTTTAATAAAAGCCCTTTGATTAATCCAACAGCACATATAATTTGTACTCTTAAGCCTCACTCATGTTATTTGTTTTACTCAAATAAATCTTTTAATTTAACCAGCAAAAAAAAAAAAAATTTAGGGGTGCATAGACAAAAACAAAACTTAACCAGCCAAATTAATCCTTAGCTAAAGATAACCTAATTAACAAAATTTCTAACTATTTCGCTTGACAAAAACAAAAGCTTATGAAAGAAAAACAGAAAGTTTGCATAGACAGATGTGAACTGTTGACAATAGAAAAAGAAGATTAATCTGTATATACCAGAATCGAATAATTCTGTTCATAATCTATCCTTAAATTGTATTTAGAGAAAAGTTCATATGGTGATTCGGCTTTCTCTACTTAAAAACTTTGGCTAACTATTTAAAAATCTGGGTCGTGCAAGTCTTTTTTCCTTAATTTATTTGCATCAAATCATCTGAAATGAGACCATGATGTGAAAAATTGTGCAAAGAAGAAACAAGATCTATTATGAAAAATTAATGTCCATTTATCCGCAGTACAAAGAATCTCAATTGATTTTGACATTTGAATTTTTTTGATTCTGTCAACAAATTTTGGTAACTTTAAAATATCTTCTAATATACAATTTCAACTAGTCTTTCCATGCGGAGAAAAAACTTAGTTGCAACGGAAATAGCCCTATTTTGTCATCGCTAACCAATAATACTTTGTCATGTGGAAATGTTGTCACGCGTGTAAAAACATTATTGATTGGGGATACCAAAGTAGTGCTATTCCTGTTTCATGGAAGTCTTTCTCATCTACATGAGCTTTTGTCACATTTTGGGCCTTAAATTTCTATCTATTTGAATAAATTTCTATCTATTTGATATGCAAAATAACGAATTTTCTACAAATATTCTAGATCACGTATTTTGGCAAGAAATTGACAAAAGTTATTGCAATTTTTGGTACAAATAGATTATAGTTGACCCTAATATTTTGCTATGTAATTGGTAAGTAGACCTTTTGTGATTGTTTCTGATTGAGGGTGTAATTATTGCATCGTTCAAAGACCCAAAAACAAAGTTTTCAATCAACCATTCTCAGACATTGAATTAGTATACATTTAATTTCATTTTGCTGTAATTATGGAATTGGATGCTTAATTAGTACTAGCCTCTTCGCATGTGCTTCCGCACTTGAGGGAGGCTTTTTTTTTAAAAAAAAATTATTTTATTTTAGAATTAAAAAAAGATAATGAGTAGTTGTGTTCCATAAAAATAGGATCCATTATCTAATTTTTATTTTATTTTTAATTTTTTTAATATTAAAAAGTGTGAATTTACTATATTATCTTCATTTAATTAATAATTTCAATTCTTAATGTTTGCATTAACCAATGGCATTTGCTGGTATTTTGAATGTTTTTTTTTTTTTTTTTTTTAGAATTAAGAAAATATAATATGGGTAGTTATATTCCATAAGAGTATGACCTATTATCTGATTTTGTTTTTAATTTTAATTTTTTTCTAAATATGAAAAATGTGAATTTACCATATTATCCTCACTTAATTCATAATTTCAATTCTTAGTATTTGAATTAACCAATGGCATTTTTTGGTATTTTGAATGTTTCACCATTCTCGGCCTTTTGCTTTATATATATATATATATATATATATATCAGTCCCCTTCTATTGAGGGATCCCTCAAATAATTTTATTTGAGGGACGCCCTTTAGGGTATCCTACAATTTTTTTTCCAATGATCCAAACCATCTATTTTTTAGGTCTTCATTCATAGATCATCCTTATAAAAAATTAGACAAATCGGAAACCGTTTTGACATCCAATTGTGTCTTACAAAATCAATGAATACGGTGCTTCAAGAAAGTACTAAAATTTCAATAACTCAATTGAATAGTCAAATGATATCGGATTCAATTGATTTTTTGTAGAGATGATCTTTGAATATGTATCTACAAAATAGACGGTTTGGATTAGTGAAATACAATCCGAAATAAGCCCTACAAGGGGTGTCCCTCAATGGAAGCTCTCTGTATATATATATATATATATGTACATAGTTTTTTCTTGGATGACCTTTAGTTAGTAACACGCCTCCTACATGAATCAAGCACAAGACATTGAACAACTGTTATTGATCTCTTTAGCCCAAAACACTAGACAAGACGACGACCCCATTCTCTCCATTCTCTTCCCAACACCAGGTACGTACGTAGGTCAAACTCTTCCCAATACATCAGTTTGAAGGGTTCTTTCTTATTCAAATTGGTTTCAGTTGTGTTTTGTATTTGAGTTTTAAACTCTCCACGATTTGCTCATGCTGTTAGCTTGTTTATAGGAGCATAACTCTACATTTGATTTGTAATCATCATTTTCTATATTCTAGTTGGCTGCTGCAAGTTCTGAGTTTGAAGGAGGTTGTACTGAGAGAGTGAGCTAGAGTATGACAGATGGATTTAGATTTAGCAATGTTCCAGACGAAGTTGCCCATCGTATTCTTTCCTTCCTCGCCATAATAGACCTCACTCGTTTCGGCTGCGTGTCGAAAAGATGCAGAGAGCTTCCTCTCTCATCTCCATCATTGGATTTTGATCTATCTGCCAGTGACTACACTTTTGCATCCACTTGCGAAAAACGGATACAGTTGTTGAATTATTTGGACAGTTTCTTGAGCCGTCATGGGGATAATAAGATACAGCACTTTCGTGTTCGTTTGGAGTGTCATTGCGTGGAGAAGAAGATCAAATGGATGGTTGATAAGACACAAAGCTTTCGCGTTCGAAGAGAAGCATGCGAGTGTCGGAAGGAGTATTCTCGGATTGTGAGATGGGTGGAAATTGCAGCAAGGAGTGGAGTTGAAACGCTTCATCTTGAAATCTTTATAGATGAAAAGCAATGCGGCCAGGATCCCTTGGTTCAGTCCTGCGTCTTTCTATGCGGATCTTTGAAGACTCTAGAGTTGGACTTTGGCATGAATTATCCCAAAGTTCTTAAGAAGCCCTCCTCCTCCAGTTTTTCTTCCAATCTCCAACGCCTGGACTTGCGAAACGTTGAGATACACGAAGGGTTTTTCGAATGGATGTCATCATCCTGAAAATGCCTGAAGGAATTAAGTCTTGACAACTGCAGGGCAGAAAGCATCACCATCCAGAGCTCCTCCTTGGAATCATTTAGGTACATATACGACGATGATGACCTCTCCGATTTCGACATTATTGCTCCAAATCTCAAGTGTGTGGCGTGGAAGGCCAATATGTTTGTGTTCCAAAATGTGGAGAAATGTAGTTGCTTAGAAAAAGTTGAGCTGCTTCTGCAACCTCAGAAACATGATGCTCTGGTCTTGTTTGAGGTTCTTCGGGGTATAAGCACGGTTAAACATCTTACTCTAAACCACGAGACCACCAGGGTAAATGTTGCATGTAGTTATTTCTTACCATATTCTTACAGGGGTTTTTTGAGTTTCTTCCTTGTTCTATTAACGTTGTGTGTTTATAACTTGCAGGTTCTGTTTGAGGGAGGTTCCATTCCAGCATTAGAGAATGTTTCTTATTTATGCTTGCATATTTATTGCTTGTGTGATATCCTTGTCCCGGCCATGGCCTCTCTTTTTAGAGGAATCCCTAATTTGACTACTTTGGCCATAACTTCAATTTGGCCGGATCTTGATGTAAGCAAGAAAAACTTAATGTCCTATATTTATATTTAATTGGAAAATTGTTAATCGTTTGTTCTTGCCTTTGTAGAATTGTTCCGAGTTTGATACGAGATGTTGGAAATCGCTAAACCTTGCTTTTGTTCATAAGCTTGAGGAGGTAGACATTCATATGCTAATTGGATCTAATGCTGTTGAGTTTGCAAGATATGTCCTCGAGCATGCTCTCTACGGAGGGTGAATGAGAGCAAGAAGATTTCCGATGCCACACTTGTGTTTGAAGAAGCTGAAGAATAAACTTTTAAAATTTCAGAAGAGTAGGTGCTGCTACTGCCCTAGCTTGTTTACCTTCATCTAGCTAGCCCATCATTTTGATGTTCAAAGTTCAACTCTTTTTCTGCAAGGAAGAGCATAATTTTTTCTCGCACAACATTGGTTTAAACTTTCTGAGACGTGCGATTGTATCGACATTTTTGGTTGTTTACATTCACCTTTATTTTATTTTTTTTACATGGTTTAATTTATATTCCAACACGAGCTCGATTGCCTTTGAGCTCCCAAACTTAATAGCATACAGGCAGCATGCCTACAATCTGATTAATTTACAATAATGCCCATAAGTTCGAATGTTGGCAGCAGTGTTTGCTCTCATACGATGTCATTTTCACAAAAGCTATCACCAAGGAAGATGGCAAAATAAGAAAAGGGCTATGATGTTCATGTCTGATCATCACACAGCATAAAGTCGCATGCTATGTTTTGAATTATACACAGAAATTTGGATTGGCCGTTTCTTAAAATATAAAAAGTAAATAGGTGTAACACAAACTAACTATTTTCTCAAAATGAGTTAAGAAATTTGACCAAAGCTTTCATCTTTAGTTTGAGGATATATCTGGGGAACTGTTCATGCCTTCAACAAATGCGTTTGCAACTGGTCTTTGAAACATGAGCCAAGGATTTGGTATTTTTTTGCTTGAAACCTCCAAAAACAAAAACCTAGCAGTGAGCAACCACTAATCAGAATCAGAACCTGATAGTGACCATTGATAAGAATCTTTGGGTTCCATATCAGTGATGGAAGGAGGAAAGTGTTCGTTAGTCACTCTTCGAGGCCGGTCTCTCCTTGGTCTACCTGCTTCCTGTAAGATGCAGATTAAAGTTAACACATCACTCAAGGACTAAAAGTTGAAGCAAAGGATAGCTAAATTGGTCTGCTCTTATTTCTTTTCTTCTTCTTCTTCTTCTTCTTCTTATGTTCACCTTGGAATTTGGTTGACTTGGTTGATTCGACACTGGAGTTGCTTGGCTTCTCCGAAGCCAGATGGCACCAAAAGACATCAATGCCGCCAGAAGCAAAATTGGACCAATCCTTGGATCTCCTCCGATGCGATCATAGAATCCACGTAAAATGCTACGGATGCTCTGCTTGATTGTATTTGTTGAAGGAATGCTTTGGACACCTGCGGACCATATTGGCTCTGAATCCTCAGGAACCAGATGAGGAGTTCTTGTTCTCTGCATTGCAAACAGACTTTAAATGTAAGGGTACAGAAGAGGAGCGCTCAAAAGGTGCAGAGAATCTGACACTTGAAAATCAGACAACGGGACTAGTCAGTCTTGAATGGTGCTTAGAACCATCTAATTCCCTAGAAAGACTGGATTGTGTGAACAGGCAAAGAATATTTACATAATGAGGAAGATCTCTGGAGTCTCCATCCTTGATTATTTGCGAGATCCATTTCATAATCTGCAGAAGAAGAAGAAAAAAAGGTGAAAACCAAGCAACCAACTAAGAACATATGCTCCCTTTAAGGCATTAATTGTAGTTTAAAGCATTATTCAAAGTCAAGAAATTCTCAAAACATAGAGTTAGATACCTCCGGAATTTCATTTGAACCATTGTACTTGGCCACAAGCTGTGATGCTGGATCTAATTCCTGATCTTGTACTGCATCCCATATGCTTTTCGGCTTTTCCTTGGGTTTGTCACCCTCTTCTGTCACATTCCTTTTGTAGCGTACGATATATAACTGAGGTACATCAGTCATATCTGTCCTTTCTCCACAAGCTTCATGGCTGGTTTCAGATTGGAGGAAGAAGAGACAATATTTCTGAAACAGAATATCAGCTCTTCTAAGGAATATGGTGTAGAAAACAAGCATATCCATTCAAATGTGTCAAATTAATACAATTTTCCTTTACCCCCTATATGGATACACAATGATGTACCAAATCGGCCATTGAGAGAGAAATTTATCATAAAATTTGGTGGTCAACTACCCTTGGATCAAAACCTAATGGTTGGCATTAATTCTGATAATGCAAAGCACTTCCTTGGGATTGAAACCAACTTTGAATGACAACCTTTGGATTTTGATCTAATGGTTGGTGGCCAAGTGAACAAAACTCGGCTATAATATTGCTCCTTGAACCAAACTGGTTCTAAGTTCACCACGCTGTAGAAAATTTTGATGTCTTTAAATTTACCACTACATAGTAACATACAGAGTAGATGGTGGAATCGATATTGTTTCCAAGTGCATGCATGATGAAATAACACTTAAAAAGACAGACACAAATGTTCACCTTTTGGGCTTCTCCATCAAGCCAAGCAAATGTCAGTCGTTTGCTTTTAAGTGCAACTGCTGCTGGTGCTATAGATTGCTCTTCATCAGCTGATCTTGACTCAACTTCATTCGATAAGATTTCTTCAACCCTACGCATGGTCTATCAAACTTATGTCATTCGCATCAATTGCTAAATTTGAAAAATATGAATGCTAGATGTCTCGTATAAATCATAAATTCATTCTCTGAACGCAGACTGAGCGCAATGTTGTGGACCAAAATGACAGGAAAGACACTTACTCCACGCATAGTACTGAGTTCTGGGCTATGCCTTCCTGCTATCACAGCACAGTACCAAGTAACGGTATGGTGTCCAGCACGGGAATAGCCTCGGGGATCACAACCCAATTCCATGGATGTCGTACTCCTCAACTGTGGAAGCTCTGAAAGAACAAACTGTCAGAAATCAAAAAGGAGCTCCCCTTGATTCACCAAGGTGTACTACTACAGAAAGAAAAAAAAGATGAAGAATGGTGTAAGAAAACAGTACCTTGCTGTTTATTCTGTTCCATGATCTTTAAGAACCATGAATTGTTAACAGATCCTGCATAAAAAATATACAGCTTTGCTTATCACTCAAGTTTATTAAATTGTTCTTGAGGACTGAAGTTAAGAGAGAAACATGCCATGGTACACAACAGGTTTGACACCAGGATCCTTCAGAAACACTATAGCAGGTGCAGATTCCACCTCAAACCTGTTGTCAATAAAAAAAAATTCCTCTGAAATCAAAGCTGCATACTTTATTGTATCCATTTTTTAATAATAGTATAGTTTCAAAAGGTTTCATCTCACAGTATTAGTGTCTGTGTTATCACGAGATTTTAGAAATTCTGAAAAACTATTCCCTTTCATGATTAATATTAGGATTAGCCACTCACGAATTAAACCAAAAGGTAGATTCCTCTTCTCGCCACAGCACAAATGCAAAAGAAGCATGGGTCCAATAATTTTTAGCAGCTTGGCGTATGAAAGGAGCAGCACGCTCCCCTGTTTTGGAGAAGAAAATTACTTTTACCTGTGATCCAGGACAACAAAATCATCCAAGTGGCAGGTCATAAGTATAACATTGGATAACAGCATGTTACAAACGCATGTATTTATACATTAATCAAGTAAAATGCATTAGAAAAATATATATATTAATAACTGTACAAAGTACAAACACTTGAAAGTTTCAGTCACGTAAAAGTTGCAAATGTCTTGAGTTGTATGAGGCAGTGTGCGATACAAATGCATTAGGAATGACCCTAACTTCTTTTTAAGGAAGAGAAGCACTAGTAATGAAGTGACATTAAAGAACTACCAATGAGGATGCATGACAATGTCAGTTACATTGTCTTCGTTGCTTTAGAGTAACCATCTTTGATAATTTTTTTAAACAATAAATGGATGAATTATCCCTCTTTCATATAGCATTCTTGTAAATATGATCAGAAATCAAATTCAGAAGGAAGTAAACAAAAACGATTCATATGGACATTGCAGAATTCTATGCTGAGTATTGTATCTACAGTGTACCTTATGAAGACTAACTTTTGCTAGAAACTTCTGCCCCTGAAAATTGAAGTAGACATTCATATCAGTTTAGGGTACGTTAAAAGGTGACAGAAAAGAAACAGTATACATTGAGTGTAGGACAAATTGCTTTGTTTCTTTTGAGAAATTGAAATTTTCAGATGAAATAACCCCCAAATCTTCCCATTCCCAAGTCAAGACTGCATTATTTGTGTAACAAAATTCCAGTATCATCAATTACCTTACATCTGAATGCATGAACTAACTTTTTGGAGGAAAAAAAATTACCTCTATATCTAAATTTCCGTACTTGAAACAAGAATAACAGCCTATTACACCATCCAGGTTCTGGAGGTGAGTGTGTGTCTCTATACATAGCTGTCTGTCTTATAATATCTTAGGAAAAGGTTAAGCTAGTGCTTTTAGTGATTTCCAGGGTTATCTATTCTCTATTCTTATTTCCTTCATAAACCAATCTGATTTGCTATACCCTTATTCCAATTAAACCACACCTTAAACCATAGAAACAAAATTCCAGTCCCGAACTTCTTTCATATATAAATTCTAATTACCCTAAAGCCCCTTCTCATAACAATCTAACCTTGAGTTATCTTTTGAACATAGGTTGCATTTACTATTAAGTTAGAGAGGAGACGAAGAGAATTTTATTCCATAGAATTACCAGTGACTCCTTTGAGTAGTAAAGAATACGAGGTAAACCAAGTATGGTTGTTGCAAACCAATCTGTAACTGAATCAACCGAGAGCTCTCCTTCGTACCTAATACAAAAGATCAGACTGAGATACCATTCCAAACTAATTTAGGAAATATGATGTGTTGGAGCATATCAAGCAAGCAGGGGAAAGACAAAAAACCTTGCCTATGTAGCTGTAGCAGAGCATCTAAAAACTTCTGTCATTAAACCAAGTACATGGATTCAAGCATAGTAATGATCTTAGAGCTAACTGAAAACTCACCTAACAAGACAATTGGAAGTTTTACACCCCGGGGGAAAAGCAACAAGAGAAGGAAGGCCTGTAAGAGAATGATAGGTAGTCAGAAAAAAGGAACAAAACATTTAAAAGATAAAAAAGAGAATGATATGCAGTCAGAAACAAGAAACAAAAGAAAATGAAAAGACTTCAACAAAAAACTGTTTCCACCCAAAAAATTCATAGTCAAATTTAGGATTTCCAGTAGTTTTGCAGCACCTTAATCCTGGCACCAATTGGTGCAGTAGTAATGATGATCATGGATAGGAACCGTTTCAATTACGAAGCAAACATCTGTATTAAAGTGCACAAACAACTACTACTTTGTACAACAGAATGAAAAATTGATCATTTGGAAAACCACTTACCATTCCTGAAGAAAGGTTGTCCAGTTGGTTTTCTCTCAGCAAGATGTGTTGCTAGCTGAAGCTCCCCAAGTTCCAAAAGACCAGTATTTGCCACACCACCCAACAGAGCAGCTGGATATAGAAGATAAGGAAACAAAATGGAGAGAGAGAGAGAGAGAGAGAGAGAAATTAGTTCATAAAAATATATTGAGTTAAACTTTGAAATTTAACGAGGCAAAAGAATGGGTTGTAAACTTGTAACTACAACAATGCTTGGAATATATGTAAATTTAGTTATTAGAAAGAAAAAACAACCTACAAACAAGCAATCATGCGATACAATTTAGAATAGAAACAATATGCCCCAGTGAAACTAAATGGTTAAAGGACTTGTGTAATCAAAACCAACAAACCAAGTGGTAAGTGGTAGTAAGTGGTAAAAACACAAGACTTCACTCAATCAATTGCAAGGATTAGCCACAATCTAAACTTGTCAAGAAACCATTTCAGATAAAGAATCCTAAATCAGGTACTCCAAAATGAAAACATACCAATTTTTTTCCACGCATCAGAAAATTTATCACAGCTTTTGCTCCCAAATGAGCACAACTGGTCAAAATCACAACGAACATGAATTAATAGTCAGTACATATATAACAGGGATAACAAGAAGTTTTGAAAAATGAAAACAAATGATTTAATCTGAAACAGCCTCAAAACTCTATACTGAATAAGAAAGCACAAGATATGCACATTCTGGTTCAGTGTTTATAGAAATTTATATCAAAATGTCTTTATGTTATGTTATGCATATTACTCTCTAAGTTACGGAAGGGTGGAAAAAGAGGAAAATAGCTCTATTAAGTAAACCATTGGTGGAAGGGGAGGGAAATCAAGGAAAAGATAAAAGCATAAGCTGGTTAAATTTGTCATGACATGCAGCATGACTTATAAAGTGATTTTACCTGAATTAGCGCTGGCATGTTACCCTGAAACATGGTCTGGAAATCCTTGGAGGTAATGATTGTAAGATCATGATCTTGAATATCTAATAAAAGAAAAGATTATTCATCAGCCTAGAAAAAATGGAAACTCTGCAACAAACTCTTTTAATAATAATTCAAACAGTAAAACAATAAAGTAATTGCAATTTTAACACAATTAACAGCTTAAGTTCCAACCTGAAGAAACAGAGTCAAGTAAAGGAAGTTCTATCTTTGAAAAGCTTTCTCCTGCATATTGCTCTTTGACCTTCTCAATTACATCCTACGGTCCAAATAGGGCAATTAATAAAACAGTGTAACACTCGGCAAAGCTTAAAGAAAAAGAACAAGGAGAGCAGTACAAACTAGACATTTAAAGCTTCAAGTCTTGGAATGGGAGCAAGAACTCACTATTTGCTCATCAATGCCAAATATGTCATAGTTCCTCTTCCACAACGGATTTGTCAGCAACTCATAAGCATATTGAATCTGCAGTTCATATCCCAATCCCATGCTTAGAGCAAAAGTATTAACTAAATAACAGAAATCAAGCCCAATTACTGACTAAGAAAGCTACAAGTCTCTTTTGAATATGGTAAGCATATTTTTTTAAATAAATAAAAAATAGTTGTTGTGTCCATGTTTTATAACCCCTTCTTCACATATATCATTTTCTTATCATCAACTTTTTCAAAATGCCAAATTCAACCATTCTTTCTTCATTTGACCTCAGTTAAGCTAAACAAATTATTTCATCTACATGTAACTAAAAAATTAGGTTCAGACGACAAACCAAAATTCACTGACCTTGATAAAATCAAGAGTAACAGGAGCTCGCTCGCCTGAGTTCCTGAAAATAACGACATGTCACAGCTATGTAAGAACAGCAGAGTGCTTTGAACTATACATTGAGTGTTTCAAAAACTTTGATATACAGAGTCTTCTTCTTCTAGAAATTGTCAAAACTAACGAATTGTGTGATTCAAATCACTAAAACGACATGTCGATCAAAGTAGACAAGGAAAGAAAAAGAAAATTTACCAAGCGGAAGAAATATTTTCGTAGGCCTCTCTCACTTCTTCAATTGAGCTATACATCTTTATACCAAGAACTACCACAATTCACCAAACAAAGCAATCGTTTGAAAACCAAATACATTAACACACTCACCCATACATATATATATATGAGAGAAACAGATATATATATATAGAGAGAGAGAGAGAGAGAGAGAGAGAGAGAGAGAGTTACTGTCGTAATTAGAAGGAGGAAAGGATTTGGGAATGACGAAGAGCTGGAAGAACATGGCGGCGGCAAAGAGAATCAGAGGCATCGAGTAGGCTCTGAACGTGGACGCCATTGACGAGCTCGTCGCGGCCGGAGGCGCAGGCGTTGCCATGGTGCTCAGAAGAGAGGGATGACTATGAGTCTGCCGTCTGTGAGTGACTGCGAGAGTCGCTTTGGGCGTGGGGGAGGCGTTAAGCCCAATATTACTGAAAATATTGGCGAGAGTGACAGGAGAAAGTGACAACGGCAACAACAGACTCGCTAGACTTGGGAGCAAACACTGTTTCCTTTTAAAAAGGAGGGCACGCTCATTGGCTCGTAGCGATCGGCTGTGAAGAAATGTGACACGTGTAACATGGTGAGTGGATCTTTTGTGGGAAAGTCAATGGAGATGGGTTTGAAGCATACGCTTGGAATGTTTGTAATAGACGCTAAGATTTGGGTTTTATGGAGAGAGCCCAAATGTTCCCAGATGGGTCAATGTACTTTGATTTCTACAGTCATTCTATACCCAACCATCAAATGGGTTTAAGAAAGCAATTTACGCACACTTCACCATCAAGGGGATTATTCGGCCCAAAACTACTGTCTAAGTTCGATTCATTATTGGGCCAGTGTTTATTTAGGGTTTCGTTGTGATTGCTTCTGAAATAGCTAAAAAGTTATTTTTACCGCGTTTGACAAAATATAAACCTTATAAGTACTTATGAGCTACAAAAGCGGTGTCTAAAGAAGAACCAAAAAGTACTTGCAAGTACTTTTCAATAAGCACTTAGATTTTTGAATAAAAATATCTACGTGCTTTGAAAGAATAATGAGGGTTTATAAACAGAACTTCTTCCTATGCATACAAAGCAATACCAAAAGGCTAATGGGTTCTCACCGTAGGGGTGGTGGATTTCCTCTCCCCCCATGGCACTCAAGTTTGCGGTAAAAAAACAAGCACAACACAAACTAGCAGTAAGTATCTAATGTCTTAAAAGTGATTATCAAGTACGGATCGATCAACCCCAAAAACCTGACTCCCACCTAATGTCTTAGAGTCTGGACCCATCCCATCATCAAGCCCTTCAACATGTGTGAAAGTGACGGGGGCTGCTGCCATTATAGATACCTTTTCAGGCCAGAAAAAAAAAAGGTAAGGCAAATCTTGATTAAATAAATAGAGCAGTTTACTATTTCAGTGCATGTCGGCGCAAGCACGATGTTGAAGGAATTAATACTCAACTTGAATGGGAATTGGTAGGTTGGTTACTCAATGCAGACGTCACAGCTCCATATGTATCTGGGAAGTAGGACAACATTAATACGTACAATCCTTGATTTGATTGTCGTCCATCCCCAGGAGCACAGTAAAATACGTGCACGATTTCAGATAATAATAGCCATAGGGAGGGAGAGAATCCAAAACAACAATATTGATATATACCAACATAGCCTGTTTTTCTTATGAGTTTATTATGGGTTATTTCTCATTTTCCGTTCTCTGATTTTATTTATCGGTTGGGTACTAGGCGAGAAAATAAGAGTGATTGGTTATACGAGTCTCTCTCTTTCATTATGTCACTATAGATGATAATGATATATACTGTACAACAAGAATAAAACAAGAAAAACACAACAATTAGAAATTAAACGGGAGAGCAAACTTTTACATGATTAGTTTCGATGGTCCACAATTCATAATACTTCATAAACCCCAAACAAACCACCACCTACTCTGCTAATTATTTATATTATTTTATGCAGGTGGTGGAGATTCATTCATCAGAACTACCATAGATAGATAGATATATACTTACGTACGTTTGTTAACCTCTCTCTCTAGCTCGATCACATTTTCATCATGAAATGCCAGTCATGATTTGATGCCCATCATTATATATCACAACAATTGTTCCAAACTAGTCCAAGCATCCCCGTCCTCAACTTCATACCCCATATATTGCTGGAGTGCCTCGAATAATTCACTGCATTCCTTCCCACAATCTTGGCCTATAAGCTCATTCAAACCCAGCGATCCAGTCGTCATTGATGACATGGCCAGTGAATCATCACATTCCGTCATGCTTGAGAACTGATGATCCGATGTTGGACCCTCAAAATTACTTATGATATTAACGCCATGCTCATGAACATCATGATGATAACCAAAAGAAACGTGATTTTGGCCGCCGTTGATGTGATTGGTTGGTGCATCTGCATCTGAGCTTGATGACTTTGTCGACATTGATATCAGGCTTTCCCAAGCTGATGCCCTTAGAATGTCAAGGCATTGTGGAACGAGTGGTGGAAACTGATGGTGAAGATGATCATGAGTAAGTGACGCCGTTTGATCGTGAAGTAGCTGATGAGCTGATGATTTGTGTAGTTCGGACTCTTTGGACAACCTGGCTTCAGCTTGGAGCCTGGCACTTTCCCACTGAGCAATGTGGCTGAGATTTGACAACTTCTTGGGGTCACCATTGGCAGAGCCAAGGATGGCAGTCTTGGGCTTGTGGGTGACAGGGTCAAACCCTATCTTGGCCAGTCGTTTCTTGAGATGTGTGTTCCAGTAATTCTTGATCTCATTGTCTGTCCTCTTTGGTAAGTGCGCAGCTATAGCCGACCATCTATATTTTGTCCAGAATCATTAGCTCACAAAGTTGTACTACATGAGGAGCGGAATCGAACTCAGGTATAAGACGAGAGCACACACGTCTTAGACTAATTAGTGTAACCCACGTATGATATTATTATACATATGAAGCATGCATGCACCTAAACATTCAGCTTGCAAGTTCACAAAACATTAATAAAATAATTAGATATGTATTAACCTGTTGCCTAGAAGTGCATGGAGTTGAATGATGGTTTGGTCTTCGTGCAAACTGAAATTTCCCCTCTTAATATCAGGCCTTAGGTAGTTTCTCCACCTTAGCCTACAGCTCTTCCCGCATCTTTTCAAACCTATAAAAACAGACCAAGTTCAGTATATTGTGTGTCCAAACCAAGTTAGCATACAATATATAATGCAATAGAAAATAGTAAGTACCAGCTTTTTGGGGCAAGGAGCTCCAGCTTCCATGGCCATGCAGTTGAATGAAATCTAAGAGCTTTCTGTCTTCTTCGGGAGTCCATGGACCTCTCTTTATGCCCGATGCTGCAGCAAAGCAAGTAGACTTTCCCATTTCGATCGACACTTAAAAACCCTAATAATTAATGTTATGCTAATTATTGGAAAAAAGGAAGACAATGAGTTGTTTGAGCTTCAAAAAGTTGAAGGCTAGACACAGTTTTCGAATGAGGAGATGTGAGGACTAGCTAGAGGCTATGGAATGATAGCAACACTAGGCTACTTCCGGCAATTTTGGTTACGACCCAGACTGGGAACATTTCCTTACTATTTATAGCGGACAAATACATGGGTTTTTTTTTTCTTCTTCTTGTGATACAAAATTCGAAGTGATGTTGGATTGAGTAAGCTAGGATTAGAGCCGTTGTGATGATTGATGACTCGTAACACCCATGCAGTGCAAGAAGTTAAAATTCGTGTCCCACGTCTAGCTGGAGACATCAATATTCAGGTAAGTACTTTGTTACGTACCCTTATTCACTAATGCATTCTTCTTTTCTTTTGAACAACTTGCATGCATATGCACGTGCATGTTTTGAATATGATTATTAATTTGATTTACAACATTGTAAGTTGTAAATATATATATATATATATATATATATACATATATGAAATAACTAAATTCGGTTGTGCAAACGTGAGTTTGGTCAGTTTATCACGGTAATGAGATAGCCCCTTTACATCTAAGTTCGAATCTCCCAACTCGTAGAGCACATTCCAAGTTGCTCGGATTAGATTGATAGACTACCAAATGCTATTACATGACAAGCTTCCTTATATGGATGTGATTCCGGGGGTGAAAGCATTCTAACTTGCTTTTATGGGAACCGCTTTGGCTTTCTCATTTTTTGAATTGGATTTAATTAAATTAGAATAATATAAACCAGCTATCAATTGTATCTAATAATAAGAAAACGAATTCCGGTTGTAATTCATAGCCAAATTATAAATATAATGGCCCATCATTTATGATGATGTCAGCCTTTTAGCTAATCATGTATGGAATTGAATGTGCAATCTAATATTCAGGGAAAGAAATAAAAGCAAAAAGGAAAAAAGAAAGAGAAAGAAAAAACCTGCAATTCATTTCGTTGGGTCGGAGAATAAATGGAGAAAGATTTATGTGTTCTTAATAATTCAGCTGCATTTTAAACTGGTTCTTCTGGGTTAAGCCTCCTAAATAAAGCATGGATATTGAAACAATTATTACTATTAATTCCTTGGCCCAACCATTTCCCTTCGTACTAACTACAAAGGACAGAATTAGTTGGTTCCAAACCAGCCCTTTACAATGAGACATAAGTAAGCGAAAGGGATAGCGGTTATGAAGAGCCCTGTTGAGGAATATCAGTCCTTCATCAATGGATTTAAAGCAAGATATAAAAATCAAAAAATAAACTGTGTGGTCTTGGCATCTATTGTCAGATATTTGATACAAAAGACTAGTCATGCACAATAGGTTCTGTCATCTATGTCTATCTAAATACATATATATTATGTTAAAGCCTCTGAAATGTAATAACTCTCTCTTCTCCCATGAGTTGTTGTTGTGGCTGAGTACGTGCAGAGCTAGTAGCATGTCTTTGGGGGGCCAGTACTGTAATTATAAGGTTTTATAGCCTTATATTTTAACTGATATTGCAGCAAGTGTTTAAGAATTACTAGTTTTTTTTATGGAGATTTGGGAGGCCGCGACCATTGTAAGCATGTATGTGGCTCCGCCCATGCGTATCCATGAAAGAGATGTACTTTCGTCTCGATACATGTTATCATCTGCATCATGTCCAAACCTACACCCCAAATATATGTCAATAAAATCAACTATTAAGCTTTGAATCACATATCTTTATTATGGACCCACGTGTATAATGTCCAACCACAATGGACAGACACCCATAACATTTTTAATTTCTTACCAAATTTTTTTTATTTTTTGCATAAAATTTGTCTCCACTCGGTCGGTCACCACTCGATCACTATGATATACATCTATA